GGTCCATGGATAAATGGATAAATGTGTTATACCCATATGCGGGAATATTATCTGGAAGCAAGAAGAAAAGAAGTACAGAAACCTTCAACGTGAGTAGACCGGGAAAACATTCTGCCAAGTGAAAGAAGAGGTGTGTTTGCTTTCTGATATTCCTAGGTCAGCATCATCAACTCTCTAATTTATCTAAGTGAGCAGTTACTGAAGATGCCATTTCAGAACAGGAGCAACTTTGGAAATCCTGTGAATGTCTGCCCCTCTCATCCACCCAAGGAAGCAGTGGCATCTGGTCAAGAAAGTTGGGAGAACTCCAAGCAGGACTCAGAGCAGGTAGGCAAACCTCCTGGCAGTGGCTAACTCTGCTAGAAATGTTTGAATCTTGAAAGGTCCAGCCTCTCCCTAGATCCATGTTTTTGAACTTTTTTCATCTCATGGCACACTTGAACTTATAGTTATACTTCCACACACACTTAAATTATTTTGATTTAAAAAAAGAGTAAATAAAGAGTATGCTTATTATGCTTTGAACTTCTTTCAAAAGTAATTTAATTAATGATCTTTAAATATTATCCAGGGCCTGGGCGTGGGGCTCACGCCTATAATCCCAGCACTCTGGGAGGCCAAGGCGGACGGATTGCCTGAGCTTAGGAGTTCCAGGCCATCCTGAGCAAAAAAACAAGACCCCAGGCTCTAAAAATAGTCAAGTGTTGTGGTGAGAGTGTGTAGTCCCAGCTACTTTGGAGGATGAAGCAAGAGGACTGCTTGAGCCCAAGAGTTTGGGGTTGCTGTGAGCTATGACGCCAAAGCTATGACCCAGGGTGGCAGAGTGAGACTGTCTCAAAAAAAAAAAAAAAAAAAAAAAAAAGAATTATCTTGGCACACCTAAGATCCTCTCCCAGCACACCAGTGTGTGGCACACTGGTTGAAAATCACTGCCTTAGACCTTTAAGGAGAATCCGGTGGAACTGTGTACTGCTGAAGAGATCACTCTGCCTCCGCTAAGCCTTCTCTGGCATCTCTCTCTACACCATACCTGGGAACGAAGAGTACCTCGTGCTGTCATCAAGTGGAAAGAACCTAGCCAAGGTAGTAAACACATAGCAAATCACATTTGCTAATCACATGCAAAGATGGTCAGCATCCTTAGCCATTAGGGAATTGTAAATCAAAACCAAAATGGGGTCCCACTCTACACCCAGCAAGGCAGACGGTGAGAAGTCCTGACAAGGGCACAGAGAAATTTGCAATCCTTACACATCTGGGGATTGAAACCCAAGCAGCTGCTTTGGGAAACTGTTGAGCAGTTCTTGACAATGTAAAACATAGAAACGCCACGTAACCTAGCATTTCCACACACAAACACACACAAGAGAATCAAAAACATGTGTGTGTTTTAAAACTTGTACAGTCAGGTACATGGCAGCATTGTCCTAATAGCTAAATAGACAAAAAGTGAGCACTACCCAGATGTCTTTGGTCTGGTCCATGGATAAATGGATAAATGTGTTATACCCATATGCGGGAATATTATCTGGAAGCAAGAAGAAAAGAAGTACAGAAACCTTCAACGTGAGTGAACCTTGAAAACATTCTGCCAAGTGAAAGAAGCCCAAAGACCATCTGTCATGATCCGTTCATATGAAATCTCCAGAAGAGGCAAATGTATAGATAACACAATATAGATCCGTGGGGGCGTGGGGAGGGGAAACGGAGAGTGATGGATAAAGGATATCAGGTTTGTTTTAGGGAAGATGAATCCTAAAATTAGATCATGGTAATGGTTGCACAACCCTGCAGATATACTAAAAAGAATTGAGTTATATACTCTTTAAGGTGCGAGTTGTTTATGTGAACTTTATCTTAAAGCTGTCTTTTAAAAAGAAAAACCCCTATCGTGAGCAGGTCTAGGGCAACTATAATGGGCAAAGAAATGCTTGTGTGGCTGGCTCTTAGTTGATACAAAGGATGGTAGTCTTTAGCCACATTACAAGTACTTTCCGTGGAGTTCCAGGGTCTTCTCCGTTGAATGTCACCTCTTGTTACATCACTGTCAACGTTCCCCTCCCAACCTCTAAAACCATTATTTCACTAACACAATACGTGGAGGTTGAGTAAATCACATGGCATTTCCCTCAATGCAGGTCGACGACATGCTAGAAACGTCCTTGGTGGCGCTTGGGAATATCCAAGAAGCATTTCTGCAGCTGAACCAGTCTCCTGTGTCTGCAGTGACCTTGACCTCTCCCACTGCCACCCTGATGCTGAGCAGGTGGACAGAGGAGGAAAGAAGGGGAAGTTTTAAGTTTTTGATATTTAGAGTACAAAATGTACAAAAATCGATTTCCATTTTAACTTCTTTTTCATTAGCCAAAACATATCCACTCTGCCTCTGAGCTCTTACACCCTGGGTTACCCAGCACCTGTGAAATTGTGCTTCCCGTCAGCTTCAGCTTTGGAGGAGCTCCTGAATAAACACCCAGCAGTTAACGTCCAAGTGAGTGTGAAATTGATGCTGATCAGAGTGAAAATGGGGTTGGATGGCCACGTGGGATTCGGGTGGGGGAAGGAGTGTATCGTGAAATATAAGCCAGCCAGACCAAGTTAGAAAGGTTTTGTGGCATCAACTTTTACTTTACACTGGCAGGGAGAGAAATTGAGAGCAATAAACAGATTTCTGCATTTGACCAAGCTTCTGTTTTGTGAATTGAAATGATCTCAGCTTTTCACTACTTACACAAAAGCTGAGATAATTATCTGAATAATTACTGACTTGCTGGACCAACCTAGTCGTGTCAACACTTTGTATTTCTTTCATCAGTTACCTGGCAAACACAAATAGCATTACTACCTTATCCTGAGGAACAGAATATTTATTCCCTAATAAAATAGTATCTTCCAGGTGTCAAGATGTAAAAAAATAATTCTGAGGGTCCCAAGTATGATTCATCTTTAATTGATTCTCATAGATGTTACAATGTGAAACCTTATTTCATTTGAGATATCAGCAGGGGGGAAAAAATCCCAGCACGGTATCTGATATCTTAAACCTATCGCGGTGACTTATAAATATTTCAGCAATTGATTAAACTGGACTTTCTTTGTTTTTAGGTTACAGGACTAGCTTTAAATCCCTTCAAGGATTTTGGTGATGGAAACATTGTTGGGAGCATTGGAAGCGTGTTACTAAGCTCTAATCGTAAATTGCTCCAAGTCCGTGATTTAATGGAAGATATCGAGGTAGGAGTTGGTTCGTAGGGAATAAATGACATGGAAGGGCTTGGGATATCCTGGAGAAAAGGATGGAGGATGCAACGGCTTAAGGGAAGTCATTTTAGATTGATTGGCAGCGCCGTTGTTCTGTTCTGAACATCTTTCCTTGGGAACTTTTACAAAGAGAGTCCTTACCCTTAGAAAAAGTGTTTTAGGTCTTAGACTGTATACTGTCCCTTCACCCCGGGAGTAAGTTAGCTACAGATATTCAAAGAGGAAGACTAGAAAATTTCTCTACCTTATCAGTAAAGGAGATTGAAAGACATTAATGAATGGACTGTCTTAACCTTGGAGGCTGACCATCTATTATTCTAGATCAT